TTTGCTATGGATTCTTCCAATGTACAATTACTTCAAAGTTTGACTAAGTTGTTGATGTTTAGAAACTTTTTGACCACAAAATCTGAACCTAAATTTTGACAACCTAATGTAGGATGTCTATGCCTGGCTTTTTGTGACTAAATGTCACAGGCTTGACAAAATTCAAGGGCGATTACATAATCTTTAGTCACCAAGTTTATAAATCTATTCAATGATCTGCAATGTTTCTTACCTAAAAAGTCAGCTCCGATGTCCGTTTTAAACATCAATTCATACTGATAAGCAGTAGTTAATGCTAGCTTGAAAATAAAATGCTTAGTCAATCAAAATAGTTCAAAACAGAGGCTCCAAAGAGCCAGTGTCGCTCACCTGCATCTTCAAAAATAACCACTTCTTGGGTATAATCATCACCAGAGGGCAATAACTCTTATAAAGAGTTAATTGACAATTTCAGTCATGTTGACATATTTGTAGATTTTGTCCTGCCGATCATGTTTGCTTTTTATATGGCTGCAACAAAATTTGCGGTCCTATATTGGTATGACGTTGGTGTCGTTGATGTCGTCCGAAGACACATTAGTTTTCACACTCTAACTTTAGTTTAAGTAAATTTTAGGAATAAGGGGGCAAAAAACAAGCATTTTTCTAGTTTCACGACAATAACTTGTGTGTAAGTGTATGGATCTTTCTGAAATTGTACTACAAGGTTCCATATCACAAAGGGAAGGCTGGGATTGATTTTGGGGGTAATTGCCTCAAAACTGTAGAAATTAGGGGCAAAAAAGGGGCAAAAAACAAGCATTTTTCTAGTTTCAGGACAATAACCTGTGTGTAAGTGTATGGATCTTTCTGAAATTGTACTACAGGGTTCCATATCACAAAGGGAAAGCTGGAATTGAGTTTGGGGGTAATTGCCTTAATTGTTTAGGAATAAGGGGCCAAAAAGGGGCCAAAAATAAGCATTTTTCTAGTTTCCAGAGAATAACTTGTGTTCAAGTGTTTGGATCTCTCTGAAATTGTACTGCAAGGTACCATACCACAAAGGGAAGACTGGGATTGATTTTGGGGGTAATTGCCTCAAAATTTAAGGAATTAGGGGCCAAAAAGGGGCAAAAAAAACAAGCATTTTTCTAGTTTCAGGACAATAACTTATGTGTAAGTGTATGGATCTTTATGAAATTGTACTACAAGGTTTCATATCACAAAGGAAAAGCTGGGTTTGAGTTTGGGGGTAATTGCCCTAAACGTTTAGGAATTTGGGGCCAAAAATACCACCATTTTTCTAGTGAATCCAGACAATAACTTGTGTTCCAGTGTACGGATCTCTCTGAATTTGTACTGCAAGGTACCATACCACAAAGGGAAGGCTGGGATTGAGTTTGGAGGTGATGTATCATTAGGGGGTTCAAAAAATTTGAGGGAGGAATTTTTTTTCCTTTTTTTCTTTAAAATTTTCCATTTTAAATTGGTTATTTCTGATTTATATATAAAAGCAAATAATAATGATATGGTTTGAATTTGTAAATTAAAATTTTTTAAGTTCTTGGACCACAATCATTCTGTGTCAGAAAACTATGCTGTGTCAAATGTTTAATCACAATCCAAATTCAGTGCTGTATCAAGCTTGAATGTTGTGTCCATACTTGCCCCAACTGTTCAGGGTTCAACCTCTGTGGTCGTATCAAGCTGCGCCCAGTGGAGCATTTTATTAAAGTTTCTATCTATATTTGTATATGTTTATAACAGACTGTTACTCTGCCTACCCATTGAATTTAGGTGTCAATCTTAATTACAATGTCTGAGCAAACAACCAAACAAAGTTAGCAAGCATTGCATATGAACTCTTGATTTGCATGCTATATTATTCCAACTCTAGTAGGTGTTACTCTGAATTTTACAAGTTGGTATAATATCCTTAAAATTATATGATGGTTCACTCGGCATTAACAGCCACAATGAATCTAAAATTAAAACTATATGATGGTTCACTCTGCATTAAAAGCCACAATAAATCCATGATTTAAATATATGTTAAAAAGTTTTAAAATTTGTATCCCCCTTTTTCTTACTAGTATGACACATAATGTACAACTAGAATGTACAATTTGTTTCAGAATTTTTTGTTTACTTGAGCACATGTATATTGGAAACACCTGCAATTAAGTTGTGAAGGCAATAAATAAAGGGTTTGTATATTGAGACTTTCAAAAAGGGTAGGTACATGTTACTAAACATGCTATAGAAAAACAAATAAGCACACGTTTTCAAATGAAAAAAATATGAGTAACATGCATATACTAGTAATGGCAAAAAAGTTGTCCTGTTTAAACTAACTAAATTCTTGATATTTATTGTGGCTCTTTATTCCAGGCTTGTGACTGGCAAGTTGTACTGTATTCATAATAATACGCACCTTGGTTTTATTTAGAAATTAAAAATGGGGTATCTTATATCAATGAAAATGGTAAAAGACGTAAATATTGGTCTGCTCTAGATGATGAAAGATAATTTTTAAAATAGATTTCCTGCATAATGAGGTTATATTATTTAATCACAAATTTTTTAGGCCAATCTAAGAGTACTATCACGATTGTGGGTGTTATGGTGCATGAAAATTGGTGAATACAGTATTACTTGGCTGCATTACCCACCTCCCTCCTCAATTTTTTTTTTCTTTTTCTTTCATTTTTTTTTCTTTCTTTTCTTTTCTTTTCTTTTCTTTTCTTTTCTTTTTTTAAATTTTCTTTCTCTCTTTTCTTTCTTTTCTTTTCTTTTCATTTTTTTTTTTTTTTTTTTTTTTTCTTTTCATTTTGTTTTCCTTTTTTTTTTCTTTCCTTTTTTCTATTCATTACATGTATGTACACAAGTTTCAAGGACATGCATTATTTTTTTTTCTTTCTTATATAAATATATATATATATATATACATGTATGTACAGTCTTCTTAACAATTGTTTTTAGTATCAGAACTCAGTACTGATGCCCCAACGTTCCAGTAGTTGTTTTGTTTGTTGATGCAGTGCATTTTTTGTCTTCATTTGGTTGTATTTTCAAAGCATTCTCAATCCAACAATCATCTTGGCTCTCTCATACTGTTCAGTAAAATATTTTCTGTTGCAAGTCTTCAGTATATTGTAAAACTTTTAACTTCTTCACCGGTTCCTAGAATTGTATCAACCAGTGTTGTTATTTTGTCTGGAAAAAAAGGATTATTGATTTATAACATTAAAGAAGACTAATGATAAGACTAATGATTTGCAGATGAAACAGAGGTTGTTTTTTATATATTTTATTGTTTAATGTTGATCATCTGGATATGGAATCATTTATATTGGGATATTATGACCAAAAGACTAGTTTAGCTAGTGCATTCTCAGATAATAGCCTGGGCCTGTATGCATAATTTATAAAGCTACGGACAGATTTTTCTGCACGTCCTACAATAAATTTGTACTACAATTGGATTTCTTAAGTGGTTTATGCATACAGGCCCTTGAGACTCAATACCAATTTGACAAAACCCAATTCACATGCAGCTGTGCATATATATGTGTACATGTACTTTAATATAGGGCACACATGGACACTCGACTAGGATGTAATTGGCATGGGCTTGCATGTATTTTCTTGCAATCTCTTGAAAAATTCGTAAGGGTTCCGCGGAACCCAGTGTCTCGCCTACTTTTGCTGTTTGTTGTACAAGCCTCCCCCTCAGAAGATTTCAGTCATTTGACTTTTGTGCATATCTTTTCTTGCTGTTTTTGTATTAAAATTTCTCTCCATCTATTTTTATTTTCAAAATGATAATGGATAAAAAATGAAAAAAAATTGGTAAAACTTTACACTTAAGGGCAATAACTCCTTTAAGAATGTCTGACAGTTTTGACGTAATTGTACAGCAGGTAGATCTCAACATTCTGAACATTTCTTCATTTTTGTGGATTGAGGAACAATTGTATTTTTGTGGGTTTTCTAAAGTTGGCATACCAGCCTATAGAAAATTTGTACTACATTGAACATTTATATATGTTGGTCACTTATATATCCACAAAAAAATTGGTATCCAAAGAATAATAAATCCAGAGTATATGGAAATAGGTTATATATGACATAACTGTTAACACAGAGATAATTGTCTCGCCTATTTGTTATTTTGATAATGCAAATGTTGAAATTAAAATAGCAATACTTTAACATGTAAGTTATGCCTGAGTTTGACTGCCCCTCTGGTATCTTTCGACCCCTTTTTTATGCAAATATTCAAAGTCAATGAACCATGACTGAAGGTACAGGGCTAAACAATCTCCTTGGTTGTTATTAATAGATATAAGCTGAACTAAAATACCCAATCGGCAATAAAGGACAGGTAATGCATGTGTGATGATACATGTCAACACGCTGTGTATTAATAATCCATTTTTCTCGTTAATAAAAATATCACAATGCCAATACATTTGCATACCGAATATCATTGACTTAACATAAGTGGTTAATCTTAAACTGACCTAATCACAAACTAATACATGTAAACTAAGCAAAAGTTTCAAAGTCAATAGACCATGACTGAGGGGTAGGGACCAAATATTCTCCATGGAAATGAGATATGCCAATGCTTATACAACTGCATACCAAATATCATTGACCTACCACTAGTGGTTCACCATGAACTAGACCTAACCACAAACTAATACATTGTTGACGCCGCCGCCACTGGAAACAGCATACCTATGTCTCGCATTTTGACTCCGTCAAGGCGAGACAAAAATGAGTAACAGAAGATGTGTTGTATACATCAATGTGACAACATCCCAACAACACAAAAATATGACATCCACAGAATTAATTAAAATCTTTAAAACATTTGGTCAAATTTTGGTACTGATATGAAAAAAACAAACTTCTGACCTCTTACATCTTCAAGGATAGAGCATATTTTATTTCCTATAAGCTTATTTTATGATGAAAATAAAACTTGTTTAAATAGAGGAATTATATACCTACTTAAATATTAGACATATTATAGCACCAAGTCTTACTCCCATCCATGAAAACACTGAAATCACCTAAAAAGGAATTAAAATTGACATAAATTATACATTTTACAAATCTTGTTGAAATTGCCAGCCTAATATTTTTAATGAGTAATCTCCAAATGAATGAAACAGTCTTGCCGTTTGTTGTACTAGTCTCCCCTTGAAGGAAAAATTCTCTCTGAATTTTACTTTTGTGATTTGAAAGCTTTATTCATGTTCCTGGAAACCATATATTGAATTGATAAATTATTTTTTTTGTGTGTTGTAAGTGTAGAAAAAAAGAAAACGGATGTTGCCTTCTGTATTTTTATCACATATTTTTAGAGAATATACAGAAATTGTATTGCCTAATTGTACTTACATTATTTCTTTAATGGCCACTCATCAGACTTGGAAGATGATCAATGTAATAATATTCCTTGGAGCTGCTGTCCTTGCTTCTTTATTTTTTTCATGGCAGAGCCTCTGAGTTAGCAATGAAGATCTATGTTACCATCTTGCTTGGAACTGCTATCTCTGCTGCTTTATTTTTTTTTTCACTCTGCATGCAGATGGAAATCAGATAGTTATTGTATATATGTACCGCTCAGAAATAACCTAAAAAGGAATTAAAATTGACATAAATTATACATTTTACAAATCTTGTTGAAATTGCCAGCCTAATATTTTCAATGAGTAATCTCCAAATGAATGAAACAGTCTTGCCGTTTGTTGTACTAGTCTCCCCTTGAAGGAAAAATTCTCTCTGAATTTTACTTATTGTGATTTGAAAGCTTTATTCATGTTCCTGGAAACCAATATTGAATTGATAAATTATTTTTTTTGTGTGTTGTAAGTGTGGAAAATAAGAAAACAGAGTGTTGCCTTCTGTATTTTTATCACATATTTTTAGAGAATATACAGAAATTGTATTGCCTAATTGTACTTACATTATTTCTTTAATGGCCACTCATCAGACTTGGAAGATGATCAATGTAATAATATTCCTTGGAGCTGCTGTCCTTGCTTCTTTATTTTTTTCATGGCAGAGCCTCTGAGTTAGCAATGAAGATCTATGTTACCATCTTGCTTGGAACTGCTATCTCTGCTGCTTTATTTTTTTTTTCACTCTGCATGCAGATGGAAATCAGATAGTTATTGTATATATGTACCGCTCAGAAATAACCTAAAAAGGAATTAAAATTGACATAAATTATACATTTTACAAATCTTGTTGAAATTGCCAGCCTAATATTTTCAATGAGTAATCTCCAAATGAATGAAACAGTCTTGCCGTTTGTTGTACTAGTCTCCCCTTGAAGGAAAAATTCTCTCTGAATTTTACTTTTTGTGATTTGAAAGCTTTATTCATGTTCCTGGAAACCAATATTGAATTGATAAATTATTTTTTTTGTGTGTTGTAAGTGTGGAAAAAAAGAAAACGGATGTTGCCTTCTGTATTTTTATCACATGTTTTTAGAGAATATACAGAAATTGTATTGCCTAATTGTACTTACATTATTTCTTTAATGGCCACTCATCAGACTTGGAAGATGATCAATGTAATAATATTCCTTGGAGCTGCTGTCCTTGCTTCTTTATTTTTTTCATGGCAGAGCCTCTGAGTTAGCAATGAAGATCTATGTTACCATCTTGCTTGGAACTGCTATCTCTGCTGCTTTATTTTTTTTTTCACTCTGCATGCAGATGGAAATCAGATAGTTATTGTATATATGTACCGCTCAGAAATAACCTAAAAAGGAATTAAAATTGACATAAATTATACATTTTACAAATCTTGTTGAAATTGCCAGCCTAATATTTTTAATGAGTAATCTCCAAATGAATGAAACAGTCTTGCCGTTTGTTGTAAAAAATGTACTAGTCTCCCCTTGAAGGAAAAATTCTCTCTGAATTTTACTTTTGTGATTTGAAATCTTTATTCATGTTCCTGGAAACCATATTGAATTGATAAATTATTTTTTTTGTTGTGTTGTAAGTGTGGAAAAAAAGAAAACCGATGTTGCCTTCTGTATTTTTATCACATATTTTTAGAGAATATACAGAAATTGTATTGCCTAATTGTAATTACATTATTTCTTTAATGGCCACTCATCAGACTTGGAAGATGATCAATGTAATAATATTCCTTGGAGCTGCTGTCCTTGCTTCTTTATTTTTTTCATGGCAGAGCCTCTGAGTTAGCAATGAAGATCTATGTTACCATCTTGCTTGGAACTGCTATCTCTGCTGCTTTATTTTTTTTTTCACTCTGCATGCAGATGGAAATCAGATAGTTATTGTATATATGTACCGCTCAGAAATAACCTAAAAAGGAATTAAAATTGACATAAATTATACATTTTACAAATCTTGTTGAAATTGCCAGCCTAATATTTTTAATGAGTAATCTCCAAATGAATGAAACAGTCTTGCCGTTTGTTGTAAAAAATGTACTAGTCTCCCCTTGAAGGAAAAATTCTCTCTGAATTTTACTTTTGTGATTTGAAATCTTTATTCATGTTCCTGGAAACCATATTGAATTGATAAATTATTTTTTTTGTTGTGTTGTAAGTGTGGAAAAAAAGAAAACCGATGTTGCCTTCTGTATTTTTATCACATATTTTTAGAGAATATACAGAAATTGTATTGCCTAATTGTAATTACATTATTTCTTTAATGGCCACTCATCAGACTTGGAAGATGATCAATGTAATAATATTCCTTGGAGCTGCTGTCCTTGCTTCTTTATTTTTTTCATGGCAGAGCCTCTGAGTTAGCAATGAAGATCTATGTTACCATCTTGCTTGGAACTGCTATCTCTGCTGCTTTATTTTTTTTTTCACTCTGCATGCAGATGGAAATCAGATAGTTATTGTATATATGTACCGCTCAGAAATAACCTAAAAAGGAATTAAAATTGACATAAATTATACATTTTACAAATCTTGTTGAAATTGCCAGCCTAATATTTTCAATGAGTAATCTCCAAATGAATGAAACAGTCTTGCCGTTTGTTGTACTAGTCTCCCCTTGAAGGAAAAATTCTCTCTGAATTTTACTTTTTGTGATTTGAAAGCTTTATTCATGTTCCTGGAAACCAATATTGAATTGATAAATTATTTTTTTTGTGTGTTGTAAGTGTGGAAAATAAGAAAACGGATGTTGCCTTCTGTATTTTTATCACATATTTTTAGAGAATATACAGAAATTGTATTGCCTAATTGTACTTACATTATTTCTTTAATGGCCACTCATCAGACTTGGAAGATGATCAATGTAATAATATTCCTTGGAGCTGCTGTCCTTGCTTCTTTATTTTTTTCATGGCAGAGCCTCTGAGTTAGCAATGAAGATCTATGTTACCATCTTGCTTGGAACTGCTATCTCTGCTGCTTTATTTTTTTTTTTCACTCTGTATGCAGATGGAAATCAGATAGTTATTGTATATATGTACCGCTCAGAAATAACCTAAAAAGGAATTAAAATTGACATAAATTATACATTTTACAAATCTTGTTGAAATTGCCAGCCTAATATTTTCAATGAGTAATCTCCAAATGAATGAAACAGTCTTGCCGTTTGTTGTACTAGTCTCCCCTTGAAGGAAAAATTCTCTCTGAATTTTACTTATTGTGATTTGAAAGCTTTATTCATGTTCCTGGAAACCAATATTGAATTGATAAATTATTTTTTTTGTGTGTTGTAAGTGTGGAAAATAAGAAAACGGATGTTGCCTTCTGTATTTTTATCACATATTTTTAGAGAATATACAGAAATTGTATTGCCTAATTGTACTTACATTATTTCTTTAATGGCCACTCATCAGACTTGGAAGATGATCAATGTAATAATCTTCCTTGGAGCTGCTGTCCTTGCCTCTTTATTTTTTTCATGGCAGAGCCTCTGAGTTAGCAATGAGATCTATGTTACCATCTTGCTTGGAACTGCTATCCCTGGTGCTTTATTTTTTTTTTCACTCTGCATGTAGATGGAAATCAGATAGTCATTGTATATATGTACCACTCAGAAACGTGTCCATCCCCCCAAACGTGTCTGATTCCCCCAAACGTGTCCATATGACGTCAATGAACTGCAAAATATGACTTGTTGCTAAAGGGCATCAAAACGTGTTCTGTTTATGAACGCCCCAACATATCCAGTCTATATGGAACCAAAGGTTTCTTTTAAAATTCCCAGAAACAACTTTTGAAGGAAGCCTGTCGTGCAATACCCTCATACATCATACAGATATTTAGGCATCATCGGAATATATTAGTACAAAATAATTCACTAAGTAAATGATGATTTACACTTTACAAAACTAGTTAATTGCATTTTCTGTGCAATTGTTTGCTCTAAATATGCTTGAAATATTTGCCACTGGCATTAAGCAATCAACGGTCAATAGTTAAATTAAGCTTGCAATAATGCTTAATATAAACAATGGGCATTGAACAAATTAATGCTAATAAATGACCACTGTATTAACAGTGAAGCACTGGGAAAACATGCAATATAAATTGTATGAGATTTCTTAATTATGAAGTACCTCCATCTGTTATTTAAAACAATGACAATTCTATTGATAAAAAATTAATAAAACCGCTGTAAGTAAAAATAGCTTTTTATTTTGTCATGCTTTTTCTTACAATGTGTCTCTGTGCACATTGTAATATATCTTGGATATTTGTCTATGCAGATTACTATATCTTTCCTCCAGATGTCCTTTGATAGCTGCTTAGATTTATTTTTAGAATCCAACCCAAACCCGACGTCTTCATCATTGTATTGCCGTAAAATTCACAGGAGACATATATAGTTTTGAGACGTTTTGGCGCTTTAAAGTGGACACGTTTAGGGGAGTGAAATCAGTCACGTTTGGGCAATTTAAGATTCTAAGGCCACGTTTGGGCGAAATGGACACGTTTGGGGTAATCTGACATGTTTTGGGGGAATGGACAAGTTTGGGAGTGTTACATATATATCATGATTTCTTCAACTACTCTTAAATATGTTCACCAAAGTTAAATTGAATCTTGAACAGTTTGTACATTTACAATTTAACTTTTTTAAATATTAATTTTGCACATATGCAGTTTTAGTTGTTATTTCTACAGGTCTTTGAAGCATTTCATATTATTGTTGATATATCAAAGGACAGATGGGCATCTCACATCATCCTTTGGGCTCTCAGTTAATTCTCATCTGTGTTTTTGGACATTTAAGAAATTTTATTGTCTGGATTTATAAACCAAATTATTTTTATTCCCCCAAGTATTCTGTTGTCTGGTCACTATCTTCAGTTCCAACTTGTTTGGCTGCCATATATAAAGCTATAGGGAGCCATGCTGTGTTCCTTTGAATTGAAAGGTGTGTCACGATCTTTGAAGTTTGCTCCTTATGAATGGCTAATAAACTTTTAGGCCACAAACAGTCAAAATTTTTACACAGATGAGATGACTCCAAAAAAAAAATAAAATAAAACTTTTTCGACAAATTGCACAGACTGTAAGCTTACATGATTTTACTTCTTTCAGTCTTTCTTACATCACAGAGTACTAGAATGTCCTACCACAGAGTAGGTTACCTATTGAAAAGTTTTATACTCTGGAGTCAATCGGTAACATAAAAATAGATTATAACAATACATTTTTATTAAAGAATGTATCATTAGAATATTAATTTGAAAGCTATAAATATTAAACCCAGTTGTAATTAAAAAACCAAGCAATTTTCCCAAGGGGAAACTGATTTTATCATTACCTAACAAGGTTTAACCTAACTCATCTTCATCTTCTATGTACAATGGAACCATCTTCAAGCTGTACCACTGAAACTTCTCAGGCCTGCATTTGTAACAAAAACAAAAATTATAAATGAGTGATGTGTTGGATAACTTCTGGCACAAGTAATTTACCAATAATTCAGAAACACTTTTGCAAGGTTTTATTAATCTGAATAATGAGACAGGTTGCAATAATAAGAAACTCCAATTCTGATATCTGTATGAAGAATTTCCTGAAATTCAATAAAATAATCTTACTTTTAGTCCATTATGTAAAAATAGCAATAATAAATGCACACATGATGTACAGTAGTTGTTTATGTAAATCATACATGTTTCTCGTTTCTCGTTTTTACATAGATTAGACCGTTGGTTTTCCTGTTTGAAAGGTTTTACACTAGTAATTTTTGGGGCCCTTTATAGCTTGCTGTTTGGTGTGAGCCGATGCTCCGTGTTGAAGGCCGTACCTTGACCTATAATGGTTTACTTTGATAAATTGTTACTTGGATGGAGAGTTGTCTCATTGACACTCATACCACATCTTCCTATATCTATACACAATAATTTCTGATTTAACAGTAGTTTGCTTTGGTAAGAGAAACACAAAAGTATGAATTTGTGATGTGTATACATTGTAGGATATCTTTATATATATAACTGCTGGTACATCTTTATTTGACTTCAGTATTGAAGATTTTTTAATAATATAATCATTATATCAAATTAATGTGCGTGTCAAATTATAAGAAGTTGGTGTCTAACCAAAACATCTGATGTATACATTTATGTAGATATCAAAATTGACAATCGGAAACTTTACTTTTCGTTCAGGTGAGACTTTTAGAGAAAGGGTTTCCAAATTGTCAATGTTAAGAGACTATTTGCTGTAATAATTAATTCAGAAATTAATGTGATGCATGTTTTAATTCAAATCGTAAATTTGAGAACAAGTATACTTTCTTATTAAAATATATTTCATTAGAGTACTAATTTGTAATAAATTTTCAAGCTGTTTCTCCAGGGAAAACTGATTTTATTACCTTACAACTTATTAACAGTTTAAGTACAATTGTAATGACAAAATACCTACATCATCATCTAGCCATCAAGACATCTTCAATTTAATCGTCTCCAGGTTTAGGACTGTATTTTCTTCTTCTCTCTGGGCTGCCGTCTATCTGCAATACATATTCAAATTATTTTAATATCTATAGGACAACTATTAATAAATAAAAAAAAATATACTTACTTTCCGATTCATACTTTACCTGTTCCGAAGTAAATATCCTGGGGCTGGTATCTGAAACAAAAACAAAATAAGTTCAAAAATATTGAACCAAATATAAAACTTAAAACATTTGCTACTTTAATTTTTTTTTCTTTCAAAATATCTATATAGAAAAACTGGCATTAATGGCAGCCATCATCATTGGTCAATTGCTCTTTTTGACTATATATCATTCACTTATTTTCATTTTAAATCTATATTTCAATCAGTAATGAAGATGGTTAAATGATATAATCATTATTTCCGAAATTAATGTTCCTGTCAAATAACAGAAGTTGGTGGCTGAACAAAACAATCTGATGTATACATTTTGAACAGAAATGATTAAAACTGAACTGAATTTCAAACAATCTAAATCAAGTCATATTTTCCAAATTACTTTAAAAAAATCGACAAAATATGTAGATATCCAAATTGACAATCTGAAACTTTACTTTCGTTCAGGTGAGACTATTAGAGAAAGGGTTTCCAAATTGTCAATGTTAAGAGACTATTTGCTGTTATAATTAATTCAGAAATTAATGTGATGCATGTTTTAATTCAAATCCTAAATTGGAATACAAGTATACTTTTTTATTAAAATATATTTCATTAGAGTATAAATTTGAAAAAGAAAATTTCGACTAATTTGTAATAAATTTTCAAGCTGTTTCTCCAGGGAAAACTGATTTTATTACCTTAAAACTTATTAACAGTTTAAGTACAATTGTAATGACAAAATACCTACATCATCATCTAGCCATCAAGACATCTTCAATTTAATCGTCTCCAGGTTTAGGACTGTATTTTCTTCTTCTCTCTAGGCTGCCGTCTATCTGCAATACATATTCAAATTATTTTAATATCTATAGGACAACTATTAATAAATAAAAAAAAAATATACTTACTTTCCGATTCATACTTTACCTGTTCCGACGTAAATATCCTGGGGCTGGTATCTGAAACAAAAACAAAATAAGTTCAAAAATATTGAACCAAATATAAAACTTAAAACATTTGCTACTTTAATTTTTTTTTCTTTCAAAATATCTATATAGAAAAACTGGCAATAATGGCAGCCATCATCATTGGTCAATTGCTCTTTTTGACTATATATCATTCACTTATTTTCATTTTAAATCTATATTTCAATCAGTAATGAAGATGGTTAAATGATATAATCATTATTTCCGAAATTAATGTTCCTGTCAAATAACAGAAGTTGGTGGCTAACCAAAACAATCTGATGTATACATTTTGAACAGAAATGATTAAAATTGAACTGAATTTCAAACAATCTAAATCAAGTCATATTTTCCAAATTACTTTAAAAAAAATCTACTGAATATGTAGATATCCAAATTGACAATCTGAAACTTTACTTTCGTTCAGGTGAGACTATTAGAGAAAGGGTTTCCAAATTGTCAATGTTAAGAGACTATTTGCTGTTATAATTAATTCAGAAATTAATGTGATGCATGTTTTAATTCAAATCCTAAATTGGAATACAAGTATACTTTTTTATTAAAATATATTTCATTAGAGTATAAATTTGAAAAAGAAAATTTCGACTAATTTGTAATAAATTTTCAAGCTGTTTCTCCAGTAAAACTGATTTTATTACCTTAAAACTTATTAACAGTTTAAGTACAATTGTAATGACAAAATACCTACATCATCATCTAGCCATCAAGACATCTTCAATTTAATCGTCTCCAGGTTTAGGACTGTATTTTCTTCTTCTCTCTGGGCTGCCGTCTATCTGCAATACATATTCAAATTATTTTAATATCTATAGGACAACTATTAATAAATAAAAAAAAAATATACTTACTTTCCGATTCATACTTTACCTGTTCCGACGTAAATATCCTGGGGCTGGTATCTGAAACAAAAACAAAATAAGTTCAAAAATATTGAACCAAATATAAAACTTAAAACATTTGCTACTTTAATTTTTTTTTCTTTCAAAATATCTATATAGAAAAACTGGCATTAATGGCAGCCATCATCATTGGTCAATTGCTCTTTTTGACTATATATCATTCACTTATTTTCATTTTCAATCAGTAATGAAGATGGTTAAATGATATAATCATTATTTCCGAAATTAATGTTCCTGTCAAATAACAGAAGTTGGTGGCTAACCAAAACAATCTGATGTATACATTTTGAACAGAAATGATTAAAATTGAACTGAATTTCAAACAATCTAAATCAAGTCATATTTTCCAAATTACTTTAAAAAAAATCTACTGAATATGTAGATATCCAAATTGACAATCTGAAACTTTACTTTCGTTCAGGTGAGACTATTAGAGAAAGGGTTTCCAAATTGTCAATGTTAAGAGACTATTTGCTGTTATAATTAATTCAGAAATTAATGTGATGCATGTTTTAATTCAAATCCTAAATTGGAATACAAGTATACTTTTTTATTAAAATATATTTCATTAGAGTATAAATTTGAAAAAGAAAATTTCGACTAATTTGTAATAAATTTTCAAGCTGTTTCTCCAGGGAAAACTGATTTTATTACCTTAAAACTTATTAACAGTTTAAGTACAATTGTAATGACAAAATACCTACATCATCATCTAGCCATCAAGACATCTTCAATTTAATCGTCTCCAGGTTTAGGACTGTATTTTCTTCTTCTCTCTGGGCTGCCGTCTATCTGCAATACATATTCAAATTATTTTAATATCTATAGGACAACTATTAATAAATAAAAAAAAAATATACTTACTTTCCGATTCATACTTTACCTGTTCCGACGTAAATATCCTGGGGCTGGTATCTGAAACAAAAACAAAATAAGTTCAAAAATATTGAACCAAATATAAAACTTAAAACATTTGCTACTTTAATTTTTTTTTCTTTCAAAATATCTATATAGAAAAACTGGCATTAATGGCAGCCATCATCATTGGTCAATTGCTCTTTTTGACTATATATCATTCACTTATTTTCATTTTAAATCTATATTTCAATCAGTAATGAAGATGGTTAAATGATATAATCATTATTTCCGAAATTAATGTTCCTGTCAAATAACAGAAGTTGGTGGCTGAACAAAACAATCTGATGTATACATTTTGAACAGAAATGATTAAAATTGAACTGAATTTCAAACAATCTAAATCAAGTCATATTTTCCAAATTACTTTAAAAAAATCTACTGAATATGTAGATATCCAAATTGACAATCGGAAACTTTACTTTCGTTCAGGTGAGACTATTAGAGAAAGGGTTTCTAAATTGTCAATGTTAAGAGACTATTTCCTGTAATAATTAATTCAGAAATTAATGTGATGCATGTTTTAATTCAAATCCTAAATTGGAATACAAGTATACTTTTTTATTAAAATATATTTCATTAGAGTATAAATTTGAAAAAGAAAATTTCGACTAATTTGTAATAAATTTTCAAGCTGTTTCTCCAGGGAAAACTGATTTTATTACCTTAAAACTTATTAACAGTTTAAGTACAATTGTAATGACAAAATACCTACATCATCATCTAGCCATCAAGACATCTTCAATTTAATCGTCTCCAGGTTTAGGACTGTATTTTCTTCTTCTCTCTGGGCTGCCGTCTATCTGCAATACATATTCAAATTATTTTAATATCTATAGGATAACTATTAATAAATAAAAAAAAAAATATACTTACATTCCGATTCATACTTTACCTGTTCCGACGTAAATATCCTGGGGCTGGTATCTGAAACAAAAACAAAATAAGTTCAAAAATATTGAACCAAATATAAAACTTAAAACATTTGCTACTT